GAGAGAGGGGGAGGGAGGGAGAGGGAGAGGGAGGGGGAGAGAGGAGACTGGGCCCCAAACCTTGAGATGACCTGGTGACCCTCTCCCCCAAAGCGTGAAAGCAGAACCTGCAGCCTGGAAGCCAGGACACTGGAGCCCCCACTCCCACCTCTTGCCCCACCCTCAGAGGGAAGGGGGATTTGCAGCTGTGGCCCCAGCTCTGTCCCCACCAGCGTCAGCTTCCCCTGTCTGGGTCAGGTCCAGGGGCTCACCTAGGGCTCTGAAGATTTCACTGGGGGGGAGGAGGCCGTGAATCCAGGGCAGAGCTCTGCCCACGGAGGAGTTTCTGACCCTGGCCCCGAAGCAGCTGGCCCAGGAGCCCCTCCAGGCTGTGTGACAAGAGCCTCCGCGATATTATAGGGTGGCAGAGGGCCCTGGGGGCATGATTAGCACAAGGGCCATATCCAGAACCTGTCAGGAAGACAAGCCTGCAGGAGCCCAGGGGCCTGAGGAAACGTGAGGGGGTGAGGCGGGAGAGAGGACCTGAGGTTGGACTGAAGGACCTGCAGGACCTGCGGATGGGGAGGGAGGAGGGGCTGAGCACAGCGGGAGGAGGAGAGTTGGTTGGGGGTGGGGCTCTTCCCACTTGAATGAAAAACTGTAAAACTTCCTTCCCTGGATCTGTCGCCAGACAAGTCCTGGGAGCTCAAGGACGTGCCCTTGGGGAGCAGGGCAAGAGGAGAGGGTCTGGCTAGATGCACAGGAAGCTCCTGGGGGGGAGGGGGGAGGGAGGATTTGCCTAGCCCAGTGGGGGCACTGACATGTCTTAGGGTCCCCTGCTGACCCAAGCAGCTGACAGAAGCACATGCCCCAGTCTCTCCGGTGGCCTAGTCTCCACCTGGCTCCTAATCCTCCATCAGGAGGGAAGAAGGACTAACAGTTTCATGTACGTAGTTCACCCGCACGACAACCCTGAGGTATTATCCCCATTCTGTAGATGAGGAAACTGAGACTTGGGACCTTCAGAGACACCTGGGGTCAGACAGTGGCTCTGTGTGCCCGAACAGGGAGGTGCTTTCCTACGGTCAGTGGTGCTGGCCCCTAGCAGGGAACTAGTGGGGAAGAAGATGCAAACCAACACCCCTTTCCCGGGGGTGGCAAAATCTACCTTGCTGGCTTTGGGAACCAGCCCCAGGAGCCCTCCCTGGGTGGTTCTGCCTGCAGATGGGGGCATGCTGGCCCTCCCTGCTTTGGGGATGTGGTGCTGGCAGCTGTCAGGGCCCCGCTGGGGCACTGCTGCTGGCCGGTGTGGATGGGCCAATGATGTGATGACGGAGTTACCTCTTTACAGCTTTAATCCAGCAGACCGGAGCCCTGGCTAGTGGGGCTGCCACAAGGGGGGCTTCTGCCCACTGCTGATGGAGCCCCCTCCCTGCCCTACCCCAGCCCACAGTGGGCAGATGGGGTGGGGGACCAGCTTTCCTGGGAGTGGAGGGACTAACAGAGAGCAGGGGCTGTGACCGGGCTTTCATGTCCTTCCCTTGCCCCAGTAAAAACAGTCCACCAATCCCAAGCCCTCCCCACCCCCCCCATTCACAGCCAAGGTCCAGCTCAGCTCCTGTTCCACTTCCTGGGGCTCTGTCCCCCGTTGGGCCCAGGGCTGGGCTTGGTCTGGGGCCTGGTGCGTGGAAGACCCCTGCCCACCCCCAGGGCCAGATGCAGATGCAGGAGAGGGCGTGACTGAGGGGCAGCAGACTGGGTCCTCAGGCTCCTGGGTAGGAGGGCTGCGGTGGCATATAGGGGGGAGGAGCTGAAAGCCAAGGAGACAGGAGGAGGATCAGAGGTGGCACAGGTGTGAAGTAACCCCCAACCCTGGGGCATGCAGGGTCCATGGGGAAGAGCCAGCCTGGAGGTTTCTGGCTAGAGGCAGAGGAAGCCTGGGAGAGGGGCAGGGGAGGTCCTGGGGCAGGGCTGGGGCTCCAGATGGCTTACTTACCTGCAGGGTTGTAGATCGGGGGCCCCGCCGGGTAGGGTGGGTACTGGGGAACAGGACCACTAGGTGGGTACATGAAGCCAGGCTCGGGGGGTACAGGGCCAGCTTTGGGGTCCTGGGGGTACGGGTACACTGGCTGCACTGGGATGCCTGTCATGGGAATCTCCTGGCCTAGGTGGGGGACAAGGAGCAGCACTCAGAGCTCCACCTCCATGGGGAGCCCCCCTCCTCCTGCCCGGGAAACAAGGTAGGCACCCCTGGGCCTGGCCCTCTGGCAGGCTCCAGGCTGGCCACCTGTTGCCTTTGTCCCCAGACCTCGCTTGGCAGAGAGGAGCAGGGCGCTATGCCCACAGCCCCGGCGGTCCATCCATGTTGGGCATGTCTGCTCCTCTCAGCAGGTTTTACAGACCTCATGAGCCAGAGAGAACAGCTCGGGGACTGTCCCACGTGGGCGAGCAGAGGGCAGCTCCAGCAGCCGGTATCTTGTAATCTAGCAGAGCTGCCGCCAAGGGGGTCCTCCCCCCATCCCCATGTGTGTCACCGTTCCCGTGCTGGTCAGGTTTGGGCATAGATGCAGTCACATGCCAGCACTCAGGCACGGGCTCCATGTGCTGGAGCACACCCAGTTACTGCTCACCACGATAGACCCCCGGTGTACTCACGCAGTCACGTGCATGCATTCACCCACTACACACACCACACGGCTCACCACGCACATCTGAGCATCCACGTGCGTGCATGTACACGTACCCACAGTCCCGTGTTCATATGTACCCCTGGCACACTCTTATTTCTTGGATCCCGTGCTGGCAGATGTGTATCTACAGAAGCACACACCACTACAGAGCTCACACACCCTGAGCGCTCTGGTGCCCCTCACAGCACCTGTCTCAAACTCGCCTTGCCCAGGACGGTGCGTACCTTCAAATGGGCTGTGCAGCTGCTGGCGCCGGCGGTACAGGTAGCAGCAGGAGCAGAGGAAGCAGCAGATGGTGGTGGCAACCACAGCCACAAAAAGGATGACAGCCGAGGCGATGCCTGCTATGGTCTTGGGACTTTAGACAAAGGACAGGTCCTGTCACCTTCCAACATTCGTGGGAGAGAGTCCTCAGGATGGTGACCATAGAGCTGTGCTCCTGCTCCTGGCCAGCAGGGGCCACAGCAGCTGAGGTTGGGGTTCCTTGTTGGGCTCTGCCCGGTCCCTGTGGAGGAGATCTTAGGGGACCCCCACTTCCCCTAGGGCTGTGCTGCCTGGCAGGGGTGTGGTGTGCCCCCCACCCCACTCTTACATCTGCAGCTTGATTGGTTAGACTTACAACATGCTGGCCCTGAAAGGCGCCTTAGAAATAATCTAGAGCCTTCTTCCACATCCCACCGCAGTCACAGTCTGCTCATATCTGTTTTATATAGTAGTGGTCCCCTTCAAAAAGAAGTTTGAAAACCACTAATTTTGGCAACCCCCTCATTTTACAAAGAGGAGACCATGACCCATGAGGGGAAGCGCCTTCCCCAGGATCGCAGGCTGGTGGGACGTGCACCTGGGAACCAAGCCAGTCACCCTCCTCCTTGCCAGACCTCCTTCCGCAAAGCCACACCGCACCACTGACTCTACACCCTCCCCCACACGCGACCTGACTGACCAGGGGGAGGGCTCCAGGAAGAACCTGGACACCCTGGCCCAGCCTCAGCCTGTGATGGCCACCAAAATGCCTTTCCTGGGACTCCCAAGCGCCTGCACTCACAGCTGGCTTTGTCACCAAGCTGGAGTCCGGGCTGGGCTCAGAGTCGAGCGGACAATGATGGGGCAGACTCGGCGAGGAGGAAGGGCCGCCCACCTGAAGGCCAGGCAGTGCTTCTGCTGCCGCTCGGTGATGAGAAGGCTCAGGTCCCGGCAGCAGTACCGCTGGTGGCAGGTCCCGCAGCAGAAGGTGAAGAACTCGCAGTTGAAGCCCGGGTGCCAGGAGCCGTTGCGGTCCACGTACCACAGGCAGTCCTCACCGGCCAGCGCTGCGGGCAGGGGGCGGGCGCCGGTGGCCACCAGCCCGGGTCCCCGGCCTCCCAGCCCCCAGGGCCTGAGAGCTCCCGTGTCTCCACCCTGGGGGGCTCCGGCCCTGCGCCCCAGCCCCTCCCTGCTCCCCGCCCACAGCCTCCGCGCCCCTTACCTGGGGGAACCCCCAGCGCCAGGAGGGCGACGGCAGCGAGCGGCGCGGCCCCGCACAGCCCGGCTGGCCGCATGGCGGGGGATGAGGCCGGCCGCCGGGAGCGGGGACGCAGCTAACTAGGAGGGCGCAGCCGGGAGCAGGGGCGCAGGATGGGCTCGGTCGGCTGCCGCTCCGGCTGCTCTGCCGCCGCCTCGGAGGGCGGGACCGAGGCCGGTCCGCGGGGACCCTGCCCCCGACGCGCCGAGCGCCCCGCCCCGGGCCACACGCCGGCGACGTCCACCCGCGCGCCCCTCCGCAGCCGGCGCGGCCCTGCGCCCGGGTCCCCGCTCTACGGGGCTCCTCCCGTCCCGGCTACCGAGGCGGGAGCTGCGGGCCGCCGGGCACTGCGCCTGGGAGGCCTGGCCTGGCCTGTGCCCGCCTCCCGCCTGTGCCCAATCAGCATCCCGGCCCCCAGAAACCCTGATCCTGGTGCCATCTCCTTATGCCCAGGCACATGGGACAACCCCGGAGGGGCAGGGCCGGCCCTTCCCCCGTGCGGGACCTCCTCTGCCCAGTGTCCAGCCCAGGACGTCCTGCGGGGGGCGGAGTGGGGGGGCCGGGAGCACCCCACCCCCACTCCCAGAACACAGGCGCCCATTGACGGGCAGCTCAGAGCCGCTTTGTCCCTGGCCCTGCCACAGGCCTGGACCCTGCCAGCTGCACTGGCTCCCTGAGATGGCCACTTCCCCTCCCAGTGGACTGCGCTGGCACGCACCAGCCTGTGGCCTCACCACTGGGGATAGCAGGCCCACCTGGGGCCCATCCAGTTAGACACCCTTCACAGTGAAAACTCCTTTCCTCACAGAGCACTCCTGCAGCAACACCCTTTAGCCAGGAGAGCACAGGGAGGGCGAGTTAATGGCACTGGAGACAGCGTTTCAGGGTGGGGGGATCACCTCCCTACAAACTGATCCCGAGTGTTGGTGACTGAGCCCACCCTGAGGAGCAGTTGCAGGTCAGGCTAGGAGAAATCAGAAGCCTCCTTCTGCCCTCACCAAGGACAGCCCTTTACCAAGCCCTCCAACACGCCTCATTGGAGGCCCTGCTCAACTGCGTGAGCAGAGCAAGCTGACGGGTGTTATCATCAATCCCATTTTACAGACAGAGAAATGAAGACTCAAGGGAGGAAAAGGACTGGCTCGAGGGAACAGAGCCAGCAAGGAGCAGAGGCAACAGCAGGACCCGTGGATTTCCATCCCCAACAGCAGATGGGGCTGATGGGGAGTCTTTCCGGGGTTCTGAGGTGAGGGGACCAGGGCAGGGCATGGGAGGCCCGGCAGAATCTCAGTAGGTTAGGCAAGGCAGCTGAAAGAGGAGCTGCCTCATGCTGGGACCTGGGGGTGCTGGCACACCCCCTGGGAGAGTGGAGGGAGAAGAGAACGCTCCTGCCCCAGGAAGGTGCTGGCCATTGATGGGGGCAGGCGTAAACATGCACTCACGAAGGACACAGTCACAATGCAGCAGCAGAGGGGCAGAGAGGCATCTCTCAGTTTACCAGCCTAGATGGTGTGGCCATTCCTCCATCGCCTCTTTCCCTGACCACTGGCTCCATGAGCGCAGGGACCACATAGCCTCGCCACAGGCACTCAGGTTAGTTGAACGACTCTCCGATGAAGGGCTGTCTCTTCCCGCCAAGACTACCTTCTCATGTGGACCCTGATGCCCACCTGATCTCTCTTCTTCATTAGCCCTTCTTTTCAGTTCTTTCGTTTCTCCTTCTTTACGAGCTTCTTCTCCATAGGAAAACAAAATCTGTCTCTCCTTTAAATCTCAACAAAACCACAAGCTCCCTGAAACTCATTCCTTTCTAGCTATTTTCCTACTTTTCCCCTTTTCTCTCCAACTAGTCCTCCTCAAGGCCTGTACCCCTGGTTGACTCTTCCAGCTCACCACCACGACACCTCGCTGTCACCAACATCATCAGTGAATTTCTAATTGTAAAATTCTAGGAAAACTTGGCAGTCTGCAGGATGGGAGGTGATTCGACCAGGACAGAGGGTGAGGAAGGGCTGTGGGCAGGCCAGAGGGGACAGCTGGCCATGCTGGGGAGCGGGCACTTCCTGGCAGGGGATGCTGGAGCCTGGAAACGAGAGCTGAGGCTAGCGAGGTCATCATAAGGGACAGAGTCCTGAAAGAGCCCATGGGGCTGGGAGGGACTGAGGAAGGGGCTTGGGTGGGAGGGCTGGGGGCCCTAGAAGGTGGTCGTCCAAATCCTTCGGCCTAGAGAGACTTCACTGGACCTTCTCTCAGCAAGGGCACACAGGGAACATCCCCCCCTCAATGTGCCAGACTCCGAGACCCAGGGAGGGGAGAGGACTTTCCTGGAAAAGAGGAGGCAGACAGTAATCTGTGATCAGATGAGATACAATATGGACTTTGCCAGTGGCAGGCTCTCCCTGGAATATGAGAATAATTATACGAGCAGCTAACACTGCAATGAGTTTGTCCCATCATACAAATGAGGACACTGAGGTTGGAAGAAATTAATTCTCCCAGCTCACACAGCTGGGATTTGAAATTGGGCTTTTGTGGGCTGGCCGGGTGGCACAGTGGTAAAGTTCTACATGCTCCACTTTGGCAACCCAGGGTTCGCAGGTTTGGATCCTGCCACCAACCTACACACCATTCATCAAGCCATGCTGTGGCGGTGTCCCACATATAAAATAGAGGAAGATTGGCACAGGTGTTAGCTCAGGGCCACTCTTCCTCACCAAAAAAAAAAAAAAAAAAAAAAATTGGGCTTTTGTGATTTCAAAGCCCAGGCCCTTCCACTCCCCACTTGCCTCTCCTGAAACATTATGTCTAAAATGCTCTGTGACATCCTGGCACATGGACCACCTATTCGGGAAACTTGATGCCCTTAACCCCAGCTGGTCTGTGTGGGAAGGAGGGTAGTGGGGGTGCTGGGACGGGGAAGGGCAGTGGGGGGAGGGGGCTGGGACCATGCTGTGACCCAGTTTGAGCTGGGCCTGGCTCTGCTGAGTCATCTCACTGCGGGGCTGACTGACCAGCCAGGGCTCCTCCCAACCCCTTTCAGGCTCCTCTTCAAATCTTGCAGACTGCCAGCCTGGGCCTTCCAGAGGCCCTCTTACCTTCCCAGCCCAGGCCTGGGAGCCCTGGGGGCTTGCGTTGAGTCACTCTGAGATAAGGGGCACTCCCTTCCTCTCCTCTGCTGGCCTCTGGTCACGCAGTGCTCTTCAGGAGAGCCCTGCAGACTACCTGGCCCACCACCTTCCTGTGGGCCTGCAGCTGCCCAACTCCTCCACATGGGTAATTACACATTCCTTTCCTCCAGAGGACCCTGAGCCCTTTCCTCTGTCTAACCTCATTACACCCACTCCAGGGAGCCACGGACACACGGATTCTCCGTGCAGTCCACGGCTGGGGAGAGGAAGATCCAGGAAGGCGCCAGGAGCCGGCCAAAGTCTCCTGGCTTCACTGGGGACGAAAGGAACCAGTTCTCCTGGCTCCCACTGCCCCAGAATAAACAAACATTTCTCTGACATCAGAAAGTTTTTCGTGGTGTCTAGCTTTAATCTTTCTTGCTATAAATGAAAGAGTGTCTCCTGTGTTTGTCCTCTGGGGGTGGGGAAGGACAGTGGCATCAGCCTTACTGCTGCTCTGGCTACTGGTCAGGAGCACTCTTCCGCAGAGGGGTTTTCAGCAACACCCTTGCAGGATTACCTCTCCCAGAACACCAGGCCTCTGCTTCTCTGCAGAGTCCCAGGGCAGTCTGGGCAGAACTTACACAGCCTGGGCCTCAGGAAAGTGGGGTGGGTACACAGGCTGGCTTGGGTGGCGCCTGTGAGCAGCCCACCCTGGGTGGCTGTGGGGGCAGTGGCAGTCCCAGGCCACCAGTGCCTGGCTTCAGGGCCCAGCACAGCCAGTGGGGCAGACAGGGAGGGCCAGGTTATCTTTAAATGGCACCTTATTCAGCCTGCAGCTCTGCCAGTGTTATTTTGGGATCTGAGGATAAGAGAGGAAGAAGGCTCTGTTTACAGCTCTCCCCTCTGTCCCTTCCCTCTCCTGGGAAGGGTTTGGGGACATGGGCCTCTGCCCTCCAGCTGACCCCTTCCACCTGGGGGTGCCTGTTCTCAGCCATCTGCAGAGATGGGAACTGTTGGATCCAGGGGCACAAGTTCTTTCTTGGTGAGACCAGCTATGTAAGGGCAGGTTTAGGTGGTGAGAATTGCATTAGACTTGGGATTGGACTAATAATCGCGAACATTAATACTTCTATGAGGCAGCACTGCAAAGTGCTCACTATTATGTTGACTTTAATCTTCAAAGTCACTGCATGAAACAGACACTCACATCATACCTGTTCTGTGGATTGGGAAGTGGAGGCATGGAGATTGAAGCAGCTTGCCCACAGTCACCCGGCTGACACATGGCAGAGCCGGGACTCATACCCAAGCAGCCTGGCTCCAGAGTTTATGCTCTGAACCTCTGACCAGAATGAATCCTGCCCTGCTACTTACTGGCTCTGCACACTTGGAGAAGCCACCTGCCCCTCTGGTCCAGCATCCTCACTTGTAAACGGACCACGGTTCAGTCAAACCCACTAGAATCCCCAGCTCAGCTGGCAGAGGCGCTCTGGTCTATTCTCTCTCCCTATTCAACAGAAAAAGAATTTACTCCAGGTCGCATGGCAGGCCACTGGCAGAGCCTGGGCAGGAACCCAACCCTCCTGCCTCCACATATATTTCTGTGCTCTTGCTACTGAACGTCCCTGAGTTAGGGACAAGGCAAGGTAGCCAAGCTGGTGAGGGATACGAGATCACATATAAATTTGCCATCACAAGACCACGTGTGGAAGAAATGCACTTTTCTTTCTTTTCTTTTAATCGAATTAGATCAGACTGAGTCTACCCCACCAGCTGGTGGGGAATTCAGTCTGTGGTTGTTATGGTTTGCTCCCCTACCAGCACTGGGAACAGGACTTGGGGGTCTCACACAGTGCCAAACACTGGGGGTGGGCCTGCGGGCCTCGCCCACTCTGCTCCACTGATGTGAGCCCAGGCACAGGGAGCCTTCCCGGTAGCCTGGGTGCCGGCGTCCGGCCTCCGCAGGGACTCCATGAAGCCATTCCCTTAGAAGGTTCTCTCACCCCCTAGTGCTGTGCAAGGACCAGGGCAGGGCCCACACCACTCATAGGCACTTCTTGTCTTCTGGGACCACTCCCCTTTTTCTCTCCCCATCTTCCTCCAAGGCCCTGGGCCCCATCTCAGTTC